CCCCCGGTAACGAGGAGCATGATAAAGCGCTTTTCAAGGAGGGGAGAGGGACGGCTCTCCCGCATGCGCGGGAGCCGCTGACTCCTCTCTCCGAGTTTGGCGCGTCCTGACTGTAAGGGGGGAAGGACATACTGCTAAATCCCTCCCATAAGATTTCGGTCAGAACCGTTCGGGTGAGCCAGGCCCAAGACAGGAGCGGACCCGAACCCCAAGACTCCGGAAGGATAGGCAAAGCGAAACGGGGGTCCCCACGTCTCGCTGTAGGAAATAAAGAAAGAAGTCGGCCGTGAAGAACATGATCCTCCGACCCAGAAATGAGGGTGGGTCTGCCTGTACGACCTGCCCGGCGGTCGAGAGTGTCCCGAAAGTTATGCGCAAGCAGTTCCCGGGGCGCCCTCACAATGGTCGCTATAACACACATGCATGACATCCGTATGTCGAATCAACGCCGAATCTAAGAGTGTTGCCGCTTCGTTGTTTTATTTCTACGTACACGTGTATGTAGCCGAAGTGACGACACGCTTCGATTCGGCGTCGATTCGACACACGGATATGTCATGCCCATGTGTGCATCAAACTTCACTGTGTTTCGTAGCTATAGGCGGAGAAACGCAGCGAGTCGCGAGTATCATGGTCGCGCGCTGGTCGAAGACATCTTTTTCTCGGATGTCGCTTTCTGTACGCTGATTAGCTCAGATATAATAATTAATTTGTCGATAACTATTGCGAATATCGCAAAACGGCACGGGACTTTCTTATTTCGCTCACTTCGTTCCTCATTCTCGCAAAGTGTAATCATAAAGGTCTGGGAACACCATGTATATAAGTTTTCAATTTATTTTTAAAAAATAAGTTTTTAAAATATAACTATATTATATATGGTTAAATTTGATATAAAATAATTTTCAATTTCATCGCAAAATAAATCTCAGGTATTAAAAAAAAGAATGAGTAGTAGAGATATTTCGAAAACTTTAAAATTTTTGGAAAATCTCAGAATATCATCACAAAGCAATGTCGAAACTATGAAACTTTTGTCGAAAATATTTTTCCATATTTTTAATAGTTTAGATAATATTCGTTCATAAATCAAAATACCGTTTTCTTTCAAGGAATTGTTTCTACCCCTAAAACAGGTGTTACGTCCTGTGCAGACATGAGTCATGCACTCTATCTTTGCCTCCTCTGTCAGGAAACAACAAACTATTCCGAATCGTAAGACCTTTTTTTTTGTCTTTCCCCAATAAAAATTCCGACTAAAATTCCGAAATAACCCTGGAAAATACAGCACTAAAACTCCTTAATCCGCAAAGTAAACTTCACCGGACCTTATCCTTGGGATCAAAGGAACCGCTGGATAACAAAAAATTATGTCCGTTACATTTTCCAACTTACGTTGTTCGGTTCCGCCTCATCTGCTGATTCCCTCACCACCTTAAAAATCCTCCAATAACCTTCTCTTTTGAAACGTATGATTTTCTCCACCCACAACCCCAGCCAAGAAGATTTCCTTAACACTGTCTACTTACTTACTACTGGATACAGCAGTCCCCCATACCATTTTCTCTGACGAATCCAACAACCTAGGAACCCCCAAATTTCCACATCTTCCCTACCAAACCATTTCCAGTTAATATCGTATATAAGCGCGACTCCGCGCACCTCGGCCTCTTCTTACGCTCTTTTTACCTCACTTCTCTTGGACGTCACTTCTCTTGGACTTCTCTTACTCTTGTGCTTCTACTACCACTGAGGAAAAATCCAAGTACCCTAAGGGTTCAGCTACTCAACTCTCTGTGCTTATTGCTGTATTCATCGTGCGATCGTCCACAACCCTCACACACAAACACCAGGTTCTATCCAGACGAGGATCGAAAGGGACCCAACTGAGAAATCCAGCAACAGTTACTCTCTCCTCCAAATCGCACATCAACAGTAAGTTATAGTTTGTTACTCGTTTTCTTCAATATCAAAACTTTAACTCCGGGTAGCTCGCGTACAGTATTTGTCCCGGATTACGCACAGGTTCCTTCCTAGACTCCTAGAACTTTTCACTCTCTTTACCTCCCAATGATCCTGAACATTAGTGCTCACCCTCACCCAGAAGTCCACACACACACACACACACAAACACACACACACGCGCGTACTTTGTCTCCGTGCTAGTAATTAATAAAAATTGTAACAACCCCGCGAGGAAAATAAATGTAATCGTTAAGAATTATCTAAATTCCAATTCAAATTATATCACAATTTCTTTTCGAATCCTTCCCTTTTCCCCCTTCATTTCTCTTATCCGCTCTCGGTCCGTCCGCGATAAAGAGATTCAGTTCTCTGATCGAAAAAGGACCACTCGTCGTACGTCGGTACACGCGTAAAGCGATCCTTCTGGTCGTTGACTCGTAACTCGACTTGCTAGTACGATCGAGACCTTACGTCGTGTTGCGTTCTCTACCAGGACGTAATATCCAGACGTAACACAGGCATCAACGAAAAATTGTTTAGTTATTAAATTTGCCTGTCTATAATTCTGCAAAGTTTCAGATTTATTAATTTCCGCGTTGCCGAAAGTCCTTTGTGAGTTACTCGAAAAATGTGTTGGCGGATTTACACAAAATAATAATGAGAGCCTAAAACAAATGATTTGGAAAATCAGTCCAAAAATCATTCTAAGTGGCAGTGTTATGGTGGAAATAGCTGTTTATCGCTTCTGTGATGTTCAATGAAGATAACGCAATATTATTGAAAATGCTACATATAATCGGAGTTACATGCGGCCCAAATTCACATCAATATGTCACACGGATGGACGATGCCCGCATCGCTATTTCGAAGAAACGCGCGCAGATGAACGCTTCCTGGGAAGCCAGAATGTCTCGAAGATAGCCACAAATTCATGTTTTAGAGGCTGCTATTGGTAAAGAAGAGATCTCGTATGGTTCTGGAATCAACGACTCCATGTAAGTTCAAAAAATTTTCATTTCATTCAAGTGTAAATATAACTTGATACTTTAAACACGTTTTTCTCAAAACTATGTTTTTCAAGTCGGTGAGCAAAATATCTCAAGAACCGTTCAACCACTCAACTTTTGCACAAATATAGCCCACAATATAATTTAGTCCTTGATCATGATTTTTTTCTCCGATGCATTATTTTTTACAATTAAAAAACTACGACTATTTTTAGTGAAAATTCGATATCGCATTTTTCTAACAGCCGCCATTTATTTCTGGTTGATTTAAAAAAAATCCATTGGTCAAGGACTGAATTGTAGAATGTACTATAACAGATTCTTTAGATTTTTTATTTTAGATGAAAAATCTCGGTTTGGTGCTGCTCACCGTAAAACATATAAAATGCAGACTTCCGGATGATGGCTGAAATTATAGCAAGTCATTAATATTTTTTACTGAAAAAAATCGTAGATATTGTTCAAAATATATTTTATCCAATAAAAAGCAGAAATAGATTTTTTATTTAATAAAAAAAATCCCAAAAAAGCGAGTTTTTTTTAATCTTGCAGGTAGGTATAATCCCTTAATATGACCTTAAAGGAGTAACCTAAAAAATTTAAATAAAGTCATAATCTCATTTCACCCTTGAAGACAAATATATTTTATAAAAATATTTTTTTCTAAACTAATAATTAATTAAATTGAAGATAATGCATTAAAATAGTCCATTCTATGTGCACGCATATATATATTTAATGAATAAACAAATTTTTTTCAAGTATATGATATATTTTTTGTAAGATTATTTTAAATACTAAATAAATGTAATATTTTTTTCTGTTTAAAAATCCTTTACTATTGTTAGTGCTTTTAATCTATTTAATTCACTTTTTACAACTCGCTGATATTCCTCTTCAGATAATGTTACACTTGAAATTAATTCAGAGTACTGCATAGGCATTAACTGTGTATATAGCTGTGTCGCACATCCATAATAGTTTAATTGTATTATAATCACTGCATGAATGCAAGGATTAATATATTCAAGTCTTTTCTCGAGGAATACTGGTAACTCCATAAGTAATTGTGTGTGTATAGTTTTCAAATCTTTAGCGGCTGCTTTTTCTACTCTTCGTTCTCTTTCTAACTTTGCAATATGATTGGCAGTTCTATCTTTCTTCTCTTGCAATTTCTTTACACGATTATACGAGTATTTCCATGAAGTTACTAGATCCTCACGTTTTGTTATTGCTGCAGCAATAGTGACGAATTCGTTCCTTAATTTCTTCAGAGGATCTATAAATGTTTTATGACATAGACTAGTCATTTCTTGAATGTTTCTGCCAACCTAAATATATATATACATATATATACATACTTATTTATTCTCCCACATACTGTATCAATAATATTTTCTTAAAAGAATATTGGATATTAACATACTTGCGCAGCGACAGAAAAATATTCTTCCACTATTCTTCTGTATTCACCATCATTATATGCCAATCCACAACTAGTTAGATTTATACTTAATCTTTGATCTGCTTTATCCAAATTTATCAAAGCTGTTATATATTTCTTCATTTCCTTTGTTAATTTCCTTACTGCACTTTCGATACTTAAAAAAACAAACATAGTATTTATACAATAAAAATATTTATTTAAAATACTTATTTATACGATAAAAATACTTATTTTAAATACTTATTTAGTACTTTATAGAATAACGCTTGTGTATGCGTGTACATGTGTGTGTGCACGCGCTCGCACGCGTGTGAGTACACACGTGTACACATGCACACATATACATGTGTGTGCATATATCAAGAGCTTGAATAAGTTCTCGCTGTTTTCCAACAGACGGCGTTACCAGAACTGCATGCGTGTAGTTTAAGATGGTAACGCATCTATAAGGAAGTACTATAAGCAAATTTGAAATTCAATGTATGTCATTTCGCTGAAGTGTAAACAACTTTTTTTCATAGTGTTAAACATATCGAGTTTCGTGCCAAAAAAGACTATTTGCGGGGAATTTTACTGCACTACTTTATTCAAAAAAAATTCGCAGCTGAAGCAGACAGAATTCTTGTTGAGACTTACGACGACCATGCTTTGTCGGAAACAACATGCAGAGATTGGTTTAGATGCTTCAAAAATAATGATTTTGATGTTGACGATAAAGAACGCTCTGGCGCACCGAAAAAGTTTGAAGACGAAGAATTGGAGGTATTACTTCATGAAAACTCATGTCAGACGCTAGCTGAACTTGCAGAATGATTAGGAGTTGATCACACAACAGTTTCGAAACGTTTAAAAGTATTAGGAATGATTCAAAAACAAGGACATTGGGTGCTGTACGAGTTGAAGCCGAGAGACGTCGAACGGCGTCTTTTCACGTGTGAACAGCTGCTTCAACGGTAGAAAAGAAAAGGTTTTTTGCATCGTATCATGACTGGCGATAAAAAGTGGATACACTACGATAAGCGTAGAAGATCGGGCCGGGTAAACCCGGCCATGCATCAACATCGTTGACAAAGCCGAATATCCATGGTTCGAAGCTTCTGCTCTGCATTTGGTGGGATCAACTAGGTGTAGTTTATTATGGGCTGCTCAAATCGAACGAAACCAACACGAGAGATTGCTATCGACTAAAATTGATGCGTTTGAGCCAAGCACTGAAGGAAAAACGGCTGCTATACGAGCAGAGACATGACAAAGTGATTTTGCAACATGACAACGCTCGGCTATATGTTGCACAACCGGTGAAAACCTACTTGGAAACGCTTAAATGGGAAGTCCTACCCCCCCTCCCCCGGTTTCCAAACCAAACATTGACCCTTCCGATTATCACTTGTTTCGATCGATGGCACATAGCCTGGCTAGCACTGGAGCAGCACTTCCATTTTTATAAAGATGCTAAGAAATGGGTCGACTCTTGGATAGCTTCAAAAAACATATCGTTTTTCCGACGTGGAATTCAAATGCTGCCAAAAAGGTGGGAAAAAGTAATGGCTAGCGATGGACAATATTATCAGTGACATGTTTTTTACGACTTTTTTTAAATAAAGCATTAATTTTCACGAAAAATCACTTCATTCAATGTCCCAATGTGTGTGTGTGTGTGTGTGTGTGTGTGTGTGTGTGTGTGTGTGTGTGTGTGTGTGTGTGTGTGTGTGTGTGTGTGTGTGTGTGTGTGTGTGTGTGTGTGTGTGTGTGTGTGTGTGTGTGTGTGTGTGTGTGTGTGTGTGTGTGTGTGTGTGTGTGTGTGTGTGTGTGTGTGTGTGTGTGTGTGTGTGTGTGTGTGTGTGTGTGTGTGTGTGTGTGTGTGTGTGTGTGTGTGTGTGTGTGTGTGTGTGTGTGTGTGTGTGTGTGTGTGTGTGTGTGTGTGTGTGTGTGTGTGTGTGTGTGTGTGTGTGTGTGTGTGTGTGTGTGTGTGTGTGTGTGTGTGTGTGTGTGTGTGTGTGTGTGTGTGTGTGTGTGTGTGTGTGTGTGTGTGTGTGTGTGTGTGTGTGTGTGTGTGTGTGTGTGTGTGTGTGTGTGTGTGTGTGTGTGTGTGTGTGTGTGTGTGTGTGTGTGTGTGTGTGTGTGTGTGTGTGTGTGTGTGTGTGTGTGTGTGTGTGTGTGTGTGTGTGTGTGTGTGTGTG